ACGACCATATTTTGAAGAACATGATAGAGCGAAAAACAGTCAACTTATCTGAAAGAAGCAGACAGGAAAGACACACTAGTCGAACACACCGTTAGACCTGAATTTTTTCTGAACTTTCTGGAGGTTTCTCGGAAAACCTCAAGATATCTCGAAACTACGTCCGTTGAATTATATATCCGTAAAATTCAATATCCCTTCTTTGAATTGTATATTTCGAAAGGTATGCTCGAAATCTAATAAAAATTCTTTATTTACTCTATGAAGTCGTACACAAAAAATAAAACAAGAAAAGACAAATGGAATACATGCGCTAATAATATGCTGATGGTTCAAGTACTAAGATGAATGTAGAAAAGAACATTGTGTTTGTGCAAACAAAAAACTTAACTATTCATTGAGATACTCATGAATAAAAATTTAAATTCAAAAATGAACAAAACAGAAAAAAGAAACAATAATCTTGACTTTTTTTTATTAGACTGACTTATATATTGATCTACTGTGTGCGAAAAAAGAATTATCAATGCCATTTTTGGACTCTTGTATGCTTAGAAATTTAACTGGTTTTCAGAAGTAAAAATGTAGTAGTATTTTGAACAGTAAAATGTACTCGGTTACATCGATGTTTGATAGCACAGAGTGATAGGAAAAACAAAACTTACGAGAGAGAACTCGTTTCTGGAAGAATCCAAAGAAGATTCTTGACAAAGATAAATTGAAATTGAAAAGTTGAAATCTTTCTTGAAACATGAAACTCGACTTGATATAATTTAAGTTAGTTTGATTTTACTACCGCTTAGTAGTTACTAGAGACTCAAACGGAATTGATTTCTGAAAGAAACAAAAGAAGATTTCACCACTGATTTGAGCTTTCTCAAGGATCTTGTCAGGTGACTTCATCCAAGAAAGACAGAGCTAACACACGACAAGCAACACAACTCAGTCCAGACCGTGTGCGAGTGTTATTATTCCTTGTTCTCATTGAATAAAGAATGATAACTTTCACACGATGAGAATGGAACACAATATTGCTGGCCACTGCGCATGTTTTTCTTGTGTTCATTAAGTATTTCTTCTGTTTCTATCCGAATGATTCATTCTTTAACACAAACTATATCCAGTAACTTTCACTCAACAAACATTGAGACAAATGTGCAAAGTCCCCTACTTATGGTTCGATCTTGAGAACTGGTTACCTATCCTCTTACTAATCGCAGGATGACACCACAGAGAAAGACATAATATCAAAATTCTCTGTTTTATAGACCATAACCCCTTATTACAACTTGAGTTGATATGCAAAACGATGAACTTGAGGTTTCGGAAGATGTAAATCTAGAATTCCATGCAAACGAATACCAGGGTCTAAACAAAGCATCGTTATTCTACTGGAAAAGAATAAGCCCGGTTTTAAGAATAAAAATTGTTGTGACGTACTTTGGGATTTTCGCCAACGCCGTGCTCTTTTTCAAGCTCTTAATACTATATTTAAATAGTTCTCATCTAAAACTATAGAGACAATGAATGAACAACACCAGAACTTTGGAAAATCTGTTATAACTTTTTGAATAGTCCATATGTGTATTTAATAATATAATAGTATTATAGATCGATACAATATTTAAGTCTTCTTAATTATTTTCTGCTTTTTATTTTCTATTTGTATCATGTACTTTAGATAATCTGCTTTTCAGAATTACTTTTTTCTCTATTGTGGTAATATTTATGTTTAAGTTCATTCTTCCAGAATTAATTAAATTATCCGTTCCAGAAGGTCTTCATCTTTATCACTGTTTTCGAAAAAGAAAAAAATCCTTTATATTTTCTGTTCTAAAAAACATTTTACAGTGCCAGAAAAAAAGAACCTTATTCATTAGAAAACATCATTGTCACAATCATGACATCAAATTTCTCAATACCATTAATCGAACCATGGTATATTGCAGTTGACATTATACTTATTACGGCATGTGTTACAGCTATTGTTCTATCATTATTATGTCTTATAGTCATATTATTGAATCGTCAGTTGCACACAGTTTCAAATTTACTTGTGTTTAATTCGTGTTTATGTGAACTCATATTTAGTTCAGTGATGTTAGCTGTAGCAGGTTATTTATGTTATAGTGATATACATCAATTAACAGTTCCAACACCATTATGCGCATTTCGTGGCTATTTCGGTTATACAACAGTTGCTGCACAAAATTGGTCATATTTAATACAAGCTATACATCGTTATATATGCGTTGTACACCATCATAAACGACAACAAACATCCTATCATTTACACATCTGTTTTATCGTTATACAATGGATCTATTGTATATTATTCCCACTGCCATTGCTATTAATACCCACTCAAATCCAATATATTCCAGCAAATCAAATGTGTCAAGTACCGATATTTCACAGTTTACAAATGATGTACTTAGCTCTTTGTATTTATCTGACACCAGTTATATCAATTATTATTATCTATTTTCTACTTGTTAAATATGTTAATAAAATGGCTCGACAGCAACAACAACAGCAACACCAGTCAACACATATAACATTATTTCAAGCAAGGAGACAATTATCAATGTTGAAACGTATTATTTTATTGATTATATTTTTGGTAACATGTTGTGGGCCATATATGTCATTTGTATTAATTGGTTTTCGTGGAACAGATCCATATGTGTATCATTTTCGTATAGCATATATATTTCTTGATTTATCTGTTGTACTTGTCATGGTAGCAATTATTTATTCAACAAATAATATTAGAGATACGCTATTTCGTTCAAATAGAATACTCGATACATCGAAAGTTCCAAGCATCAATACCAGAGAAACTCTAGGAAAACATTAAAACAATACTTTCATATCATAGAAACAATGAATGGTAGACAAACTATCTTGTTATTCTGACTTTTTTATGGTATAATACACATCATTACAATAGTATCATTTTCCTCCTTCGTTTAAGACGAGAACTATCTAAACATAGCGGTAAGTATTCGGAAAAGAGTGAAATTTTGAGAAATACACCGAAGTACAGAGTAGTACAAATAATTTCTTCCAGTGCTGTACACAACTTTTCATAACTTCAGAAAACCTTTGGGAAAGCCTAAGCATTTCAACAGCATTGGGAAAAGTGGACGTGCGGAACTTCAGCATTCACCGAATCGATCTGTGCCATAGTTATTATGGTAGCGGTTAATAGTATAATTGGACTTACTGGTCGTTTATTAACCGAGCACGAAGAATGATAGTGAAGAAAGTATAATGATAGATACAAAACCCAATAAGCGTTCACTTACTGTGCCGCCTGGACAACTAACTATCTTTTTTGTTTCTCTCAAGATACGGATCAAGTATTTGCAAAATTAGTGGATCTCTTAAACTGAGGTATTCTCTTTTTTGCTCGCTTTTAAAGTTCAAATGTATCATTCTTCTTCTTTAAGATTAATTATGTTGAGATTTGAGACCTGTTAAGTCATACAATGAGCCTCTGTAGTGCGAGCGTAATATCACAGTTTCTCTGTATACTGCATCTCTATAAGCTGCACACGTACGCTTTCACGCATTTTCCTCTTTCATAGTTTCATAGTATCACCATTTTCTCCTTCGCAGTTCGTCTGTTATATACCTATGTCTGTTCTCTAATTTGCGAACTTTATGCTTGTTGATTTTACTCATTTTACGCTTTTTTCATTGTATTTTGCTCTCGTAAATTTGTTTTAGTTGATTTATTATGAAGACATTATATTTGATATGTATATATGCGTTTAAGTTTCCATTCGTTTTTTTAGATTCTACAAATACTCAGTATTAAGGTGCCATAAATAAAGGAAATGATCGAATTACAATTTTAACATCAGGAAGACATCTAGTGTAGAAATCCAACGGGTTTGGAAATCCGTCCTTCTAAAAGCGGAATTCCCTCGTCTTCTCCACCGAAAATGTGAGGTACTCGATCTCCGTCAACGCTGCTCGAAACTCCTGACTAACTAACAGGAAGAGACAGTAAAGACAGTCCCGATCTGTTAGGACGAGAGTTCACACCAAAGAGCAAAAAACTAGAGCCGCACTTACCCACTATTGAATGTAAAGATAATGAAAAATGTTTAAATTACTACGACGAACTGGTGGTGCGTCAGAAAAAGTGGTCGCACCAAGTAAAGTACCTTTAGAAGAGCACGAGTGATGTTGACAATGTTGTTGGGGCGGTACATAAAATACATTAAATATCCGATGCAAAGTCCTTTCTGAATAAAACATGGATGTCCATGAGATCTTTTTCTATAAAATAATTATCACCCAAAGTAAATTTATCGGTCTCTACCGAGATAAAATATTGCTCTGATAAAGAAGCTTAGCACGATTCTAATTTTATTATTCGAATTCTAATGTTTATCGAGGTAAAATAAAGCATTTAGCGAGTGCTAACGTGTATCGCGACGAAACTTATTATCTCGAGAATATTGTAAATATATTTTAGCTCAATAAAGCTAGATAAATTTATTTAAAGCAATAAAGGCAGTATTTATCGCAATATTCTTCTGTATCCTAATGCGTGGCAAATAAATTATTTCTCGATATTTTTTCAGCATTAAAGTGGTACAATTCATCGATAAAAGTGCCAAGCGTAGTGACGGAGCACAGATTTTATACTGTTGTAACGCCTTAACAGATTGTGTCCGGTTGTACAGCAGTAAATGGTTCAAATCGCCCGTTTTAATAGGATATTATCTTATTTTTTACGTTGAAGCACGTTAATTCTTCGTAAGTAACGCGTTATTAACGTACATTGACGAGTGCAACAAGAAAAGAAGTCGCAGAAAAAGGAAGGGAAATTACGAAAAAGCCTACATGAAATTAAAGAGATATTCGGTAATAACGAGATAAGAGGGGCAGCGGGCGAAAATCTATCGCATGGTGACGTACGGGTACCCTTATGACATTGCCGTTTCATTTCTGCTGACATCTGATCGCCAACATAATTTTGTCTCGTATAATGAGAAAATGCTGATCTTGGCAAAATAACATCATGATCTTATATTATAATCGTGTTCTTAATCAAATCAGTAATGAGGTCCCGTTCCAGTTTGTATTTCAAGAATGTGACAGAATCACGGTGAGATTATAGCAAGATTTTTCCTTCGCACACTGTAGAGGAAAATTTTTCAAACTAATCATTCTTTGTCTTTCGCAGACTTGGTTTAGGCTGTTTCTTGAAACAGTAAGAAAGCGAGAATATAAATTTCCATTAAATAAATCGTTGCACGAAGCTAGGATCAAATACACTGACTTCATACTTCCCTCTTCCTCATCTGTAACCAAGTACTGTTTTTCTTTTATTTCGTCTATCCGTTGCAAGAAGAGAAATAGGTAGACAGTGTGAGTATATTATCGTCCATTGTGTTTATCCTTCGTTCTCTTTTAACGTATATAGCGAATATAGTCGACTAAGTACTCCATATCGTTTTGATCCAATCAAGTTCTCCTCTACTAGTTAGTGTCGCTATCATCTAGTCTGCGGACATACAAACATACATACAGGCATTTTAACTCGATAAGACTCTTTCCTTTACAGTCAAGGGAATTTTATGCTACAAACGAAAACATGATTGAACTGAAGCGCTGTTGTCTCTGAAACTGCGAGAAATTAATCTTTACGAGTGCCCGCGATTCTTGGGGAAAACGCGTGCAACCGTGTCAAACGATGATTCGAGGCGTTTTGAAAAATTGCGGTCACCCGTAACGACTAGTTTCTCACGGTTTCAGGGACAGCAGCGTTTCACCGACTTTTTTTATGCGGAAAAACACTCATAGATATCTGTCTGTAGAATATCTATTACAGGTCAATAAGGAGAAACCAGAGATATAACTGATCTTTTATAATAGTAGTTGTAACTTATTCTTAGCATATAACCGCTACGATTTTTATGATAACGAGTCATGTTCTTGTCAAATTATTTCGTCCTCAGTCAATAGCTGACAAAATTCTTAATACCAACCGTTGATTTTTAGTTTTTTAATGACTCAATTGTTGGCTGCAACGATTGATACAATGAGGAATGTTTGTTTGTTATATTATCGGCTACTAATTGAATGTGTTTATCGAGAGATTGTTCATTATCATTCCATATATAGGGCTTTTCATTTAATATTGGAACCTGAATTAGTTCACGGATAGCGTCGTATGTTTTAAGAATAGGTGTCGATAATAATTTTCTTGGATCATAGGTATTTTGTATTAATTTGCTTCTTAAATCTAGTCCTTGTACAAATATTAAAAATCCTACTGCTATATGTTGTTGCAAAATCATAGTTGACCGTCGTGCTAACAAGGCTGACATTTGTCCTAATGAATTGATATTTTGGTTATATTGTTCAGCATGTGTGGCATATTTATCTGCAATTGAATTTCCCAAAAATAGTAAGTAGGGCATGATAGAATTACCACATAATTGTAGGCCTTTAACACCCATATTCGCTTCCCGTTCCCTATTTCCAATTAAACAACCAGGTAAACCATTACTAAATTCAGGCATAACCACTTGGGCTATTTGAACATCAATATGTTTTGATATTAAACCAATAGTATATCTCAAACGATCCATACTCGTACTTATGTGTTCCCCGAGAAAATTTCCACCAACTAAAAAAGTAAGAAAAGAAGTTGATCAACCAATAAGCAATGCTACTTTTACTTAGTATTAGAAAAAGTTCATTAATCATTCAAAACACGTTATCGTAACCTAATAACATGAGGACATAGTTATGCTATGTTCACACTACGACTTAAGTAGCTTAATTTTTTCGGCTTAAGGATTCTGATTGGTGTCTTAACTTTTTCTTCGTAAAGGCACCAATCAGACTCCTTAAGCTGAAAAAATTAAGCTGCTTAACTCGTAGTGTGAACATAGCCTTAGCTTTATCCACAAAGAAATACAGTTGAAACCCCAAGTGTTCTTATATTTAAATTTGACAACTCAGAGTACAACCAGCAACCTCATACCAGTCCTCGGGATCTTATAAATCCGATAACACGTCCCGAACTATTGCAAATCAAGAGCTTGCTAAAGTCCCTTTCTTAGGAGGATTTGAGCTATCTATCGATTTAAGAAGTCTATCATGTTGCCACTTTGTGTTTTGAGAGAGGCAAATTTTTTCCGAAGATCTGTTCAAAGTTCTACTTTCGAAATTAATTAAATCTTAATTTGTTTTTCTGATGTCTCTAGTTCTCATCTATTGCTTAGTGGAAATCGCTGGTTCAACAGTTCAACTTCAAGTACTTTGGGGAATTATTACTGAACATTACTTGTCAAGTACTATAAACCGCTTGACTTCAGGTGTTGAATCGGTCACGCGTGCTTGGAGTTTACTCAGAAAGTGTCCGGTAAGTACTTGACAAGTAAATCAAGTTTTAGGAGTACTTGCAAAAAAGCCTAAGTACGTTAGACACTCCTGATCCGGAGAATAACGTTTGACCTTAGAGGACCTACGATAAATTGATAAGTGAGAGAAATGGTAAACTTTTGTTTTGATGATGAAAATCGTGAGTGTGTATGAAAATGTGGCGTTCTTTAAAGTAACCATTTATTTACTGAGCGTTTCAGAAGTTCCGTAGTGCTAATGAAACGTTCAATAAATAAAATATTTACTCTAAAAATCAATATATTTAGAAAGATGAGTCAAATCCTATTATCCTTATTGAATATCTGTGCTTTAAGAAGCAATTATTCATTCGTCTCTTATTATTACCATAAGCTTTTTGATTTTCTCCATCGATTAATGGATTATCATTTGCGGAGTTAATTTCAATTTCAACTATTCGTCTAATATCATGAATCGCTTCGATGAATGGACCGAGATACTGTGGAATACAACGAACTGAATAACGATTTTGTATTAATACATTCGGATGAATTTCAATTGAACAATCGTTTATCATTTTACTTCCAGATAATAAGTCTAACATTGTTCTGGCAACTAATTGCTAGAAAAGAGAGAGACAAACAAAAATATTCGTACACAACATATTTTGAGACAATATCACTAGCTTTTTTTCAAAAGAACCGTTGTAAAAGTTCATTTCTGACTTATAAAGGTGTAAATAAACGACGCATTATGGTTTTACTCCGAAAAATCCACATTTCATTTAAGTAACGTTTTCTGCAAACATTTTATCTATAAAGCGATTCGTGTCTTGAATTTAGTTCAACAATCTAATACTGATATAGTTGATTCACTTGAGTACTAGCAGATCATTATAGTATACTTCTACTCCCTGCAGTCTTCGCTCTATCCTATATTTGGTTCGGTAATCTCTGAACGTTTTTAACCATATTCTTGCTTCCTCTATTATTTGGTACCTGTCCTGCATGTGGTTTCAGCTGATGTATAAACGGATAAAATGGTTGAACATCGGAGAGCATTGCTTGCATCGCCATTGCATGCATACGTAGCGTGGCAGCAAATAGAATTAATGAATCATGAATAGCAATTGTGGCTGATGCTGTCATCACACTTGTACCGTTCGTCATTGCTAATCCTTCTTTTGGTAATAAACTAATCTTTTCTAACTTAGCATGTTCCAATGCTTGAACAGCATTTATTGTTTTGCCACGATAATCGACTAAGAATGTTTCATTTGTTCCACATATTGAACCACCAATATATGCTAACGGGATTAAATCGCCACTAGCACCAATCGAACCAAATTCTGGTACTAATGGCGTTATTTGTTTATTTATATAGGTTAATAGACGGGAAACAATTTCCATTCGAATACCGGAGGCACCGATCAGATGTGAGTTTGCTCTTAATAACATTGCTGCTCTTACATCTTCCGAAGGCAGATATGCACCGGTACCAGTTTTAAGAAAATACAGCAAATTGTTTTGTAATTCACACGTTGACTCATGCTTAGCTAACACATATGAATGAGCCATTCCACCAAATAATGTGTTCACGCCATACAATGGTCTTCCTGCACTCACTGCGTTCTTAACAAAATCACAAGAATCTTTCATTTTTTTATATACTAGAGCATCGTCCGTCAATTCAACTGGATAGCCGTAACGAGCAATCTCTACAACATTCTCAATTGTCAATTCTTTTCCAGTCAATGTTACTGCTGTCTCTTTGATCCCTTGACACACAGAATCATCGACAATACTTTCTTGGCGACTTGACATAGAATGATTAAATTGATTCAGCGCAATCATGAAACAAAGTACATTAATCTAGAAAAAATGACTAAAATCCAGTTAAACAACCTGGCACCTCAGGACCAATTTGCTTGATATTTAGAAGTTTGAAAGCTCATAGAAACATAGGTTATCGACCACGCCGCATCTCATGGCAATGTTTTTTTTTCGCAAAAACTTCACAACAAATAACGAAATCCTATTCTGGCCGAAACAATCTATTTTTCACTATTTCACTAATTCATAATTCACTCAGCATCACTCTGGACTGCTGCAAAATATCCACACATACTCCATTTTACTGTGCTCCGCCATGAACTTCAATAACAGTTTAAAAAAACGAACAGAAAGTTCTTTGATTTTCGTCTTGTTCCGTTAAAAAGTTGTGAAAAAAATTACCGTGGCCACTGTTCATTTGCACAGATAATAGTCTCAAAAGTCGTATTAATACTTAACCCTTAAAGACACGTGAAAAATCGACAAGCTTCAACTAATGGAAGACCCGCAAGGAACTTGTAAAACAAACTCCCGTCATCTATGCAAAATGATCTTTCCATTCTAGCTCTTTTACTTCGT